TGATCTGTAGCAGAAAGCTCAGCAGTGCTCGAGTCAGGAGGACTCAGTGTGTTTTGGAGAGAAGAGTCCGAGGAGCCGAGCTCGGCTGGGCCAGGAAGGGAGACTGACTTGTTGTCCACCATGGCACAGCCGGGAGCAAAAAGAGGCTGCTCCGGAGGCAGGGCCGTGGGCAGGAGGTGATGATGAGCCTGTGTCTTGCTGGTCTTCAGAAGAGACGGCTGCTGTCCATCCCTGGTGGGCTCCATCTGACCCTCCTCTCCCAGCTGCCCCCTGCCAGGAGGACGCTGGTGGATGTCCATTGCTTCAGCTGCTTCACTGCCCTGGAGGGTGGGAATCCTTGCCTCCACCGCCATCGTTCCTCCCAGCACCCCGGGACCTCTGTGGGGATGGGGCTCCCTGTCCAGGGGGAGCTCGCTCACCCGGCCGTTCTGGCCATTGGCTGCCATGTTGCCCTTCATAGCTACTGGGTTGAGGGAGAGCTCCAGGCCCAGGGGTTTCCGTGGGAACTCCTCAGGCTTTGCTGCATTGGAAGCAGAGAAAACAAAATAAAATCCAAACTGTGCATCGCTTCATTTCTGCATCCAGTATGCCCCAGCTGCGGGGAAGGCAGATGCTGCACTCAGCAGGTGCCAGCCCTTCTGGGCTGCCCCGGCTCCCAGCCATGCCAGAGGGATGCTCTGGTCCCCAGGGGACAGGAGTACCACCGGCCATTCCCACTGGGCTGCCCACCTTCCCTTCTACCCACCTGGTGGGGGAAGGTCAAATTTCATCTTGCGCAGTTCAGTCATCGACACCTGCAGTTGCTCAATGACGGCATCGTCCTCGTACTGCAGGGAAGCGGCAATTTTCTCCTGCAGAAATTCCCGTAAATCTTCCAGCGTCATCTTCAGCAAGCACTCTGCAGGATGGTAGAAAGGAGTAATGGCAGCAGCATGGCCAAACTGCAGGGTAGCATGAGCATGGGTTGCGTTGCTTTGGTGTTATCTGGGATTCTGCTGCTGTTCCCACTCCAGGGTGGGATAGCCCGAACGTTTTTGCCTCTCTCCCACCTTCCCACTGTTGCTCAGGGTTGTCAATACATTTACATAACTATGCCAGCTCTGGGCAGTAGCTCAGCAATGGCAGGATGATGGTGGGCCTGGACCTGTGCTGACCAGGATGCACGTTTTGGGCCATTTCTGGAAGTTCTCACCAATACCTCTAGGAGGAGAAAAAGCTCCATGAGATAGAACCTGAGCATGAGGCTGAATAGCTGCTGCTGGCAGTGGCCACCGCCAGCCAGGGAGGCCAACCTGCACCAGCCAGCAGGCAGGGACGCAGGCAGAGATGGTGAGCCATGCCAGGTATGCAGGCAAGGATGGGATGCAGATCTGCACCACACATTCCTCAGGGAGGAGAGATGATTTCACAGCCAAGCTGAAACTTCTGCCTGCCTGCCAGTTTCCCAGTCTTTGCAAGCAAACAGGATATTTGAAGATGTATTTCTGGATAGCCTGTTCTTCATTCAACTGAAGGAAGAGCAGGGGGGCTGTTTGCAGAAGCCAACGCACACAGTCCCACAAATCCCACTGGCCCAAAGGTTCCCAGCATGCAATATCAGCATCGCTCCTGTCCCAGATTAAACACCTAACACAGCGACAAAGCAAGGCTGCTAGTTTATGGGAGCGGAGGGGTTCAAAGTCCCAAAGATCTCGAGGCAGAAAAATCACTGCCTTAATGTTATGTAAGAAAACCAGGTTTTGGTCATTTTAGAAGTGTATTAATGGATTTATTTCTCCCTCTACAGCCTTTCCAGCTGACCTGCCACATAGAGCTTTGCAGACAGATGGGCTGCTGTCTGTATTGCCCCTAAAAGCGCGTTGATAAAAGATGTGATGTGCGTGCTGCAGAAAGAGGCAGCCAGGAGCATTTCAGGTGGGGTTTGCTGTGCACTGAGCATGGGATTTCAACCCTTGTGGCATCTCATTTCATCCCTAAAGCATCAGCAGGGGACTGTGCCTTTTGGGGCTGACACAGAGCACTGAGCAGGCTGGTAGTGGCCAGCAAGGCTTTCCAGATCGGCAGTCCAAGCGTATGTGGCCACCTTGGCCATATGAGACATGCTCTGCTGGGACCTTACTTTTGTGCAGTTTGAGGATGGTGTAAGCCATGGCTGTCAGCACCCGCTCTCCTTCCAGGATGTAGATATCCCACAGCCGCAAGGTGAGGGTGAAGGGGGTCTGTTTCAAACACACAAACAAAAAACCAGCTAGTTAGCACCACACTCATAGCACTGATTGATGGGATGGTGATAGAGAGGTTGGTGGCATTACTACTTCCCCTCACACCAAAACACACAACAGAGCAAGGCAGTGGATGTTCAGGATTCATCTAGAACACAAAACCCTATTTTACCATCTATGGTTTTGCCTTAAAGTTATCACCCTTGGGTGGCGGAGAAAGAACATAAAACCCAGTCACAAATGCAGAAAAAGGAGAATCTTTCCACACAGGCACACTAGCACATGGATTTCCCTACCCTGGAGGAAGCATCATCATCTTTCAGCCTTATGAGCACACAAAACCACTCCTGTATCCATCCAAACAGCCCAAACAGCTGAAGGGCTATTTGTGGAAGAGGTCTAAAGGCCCAACGGCGCTTCACCGAGCATTTAAAAATCACTCCTTTGGTGCCTAGAGAAGTGGTCTTCCTTATACACAGGCTTATTTCTGCCTGCTAGCAAAACCTCTGCAAGAGGTTTTCATTTGCACCCGGACCCAACCTGACAAACAGGAGTGAACCGATATCCAAAATGATGGAGCAGCCCATCATCTCCCAGCGAAGATTTGAGTCTTCTCACCAGCACATTTAAGTTCAAATTTGGGATGCTGTGCTTACTCTCCAGAGTTTGGCACGACTGGCCGGGGTACCTCTTTTACCACGTTACTGCAGTTAAAGGGATTTTGCATTTTACACAGCTTTTAGTGACAGACTGCAAAGCACTGGGTTCCCTCTCAAGGGGAAGCAGATGAGGCAGAAGAAAATTGAGACTGGAGACACACTAAACATTAGCAAGTCTGAATCTTGTGTTCGAGTGTGCAAGCACAATGCTGCCCCTAAAAATAGTCTTGGCTCGGGACTGGCAAATTAGCTCTGGACAAATCAGGGTAATTTTCTCATGCTTTCACGTGTCTCCAGCCTGCAGTCCACTCCTTTGGCTGCAGCTGCTGCAGTGCTATTTGTTCAGGTTTGTGCCTCCAGCTCTTCTCCCTACGTTGTTTCCAGAGCCAAAGTGAGGTTAATTGCCGTTGCAGCAGTGCCAGTGGGCAAGAGAAAGATCTCTCCCGACGTTGAAGCTCATACTGCTGCTGCTGAGCCACCTCCCAGCGACCGCTTGTGACGAGGCAGCAGAAATTGGCTTGTCATCAGTGACATGCAGTTATTTTTAGCTTCTCCTTTATTAATTTTTTTCCCTTCTGAGAGTGTGCATAGTATCCTGTCTTATAAAATATTAACACCTCCTTCAAATTATGATACCAAAACCCAGGCGGATTAACCGTGTGTGCAAGCAGCAGAGCAGCGAATGACCCGCAGAGCATCCTCACCCGGTCAATGAAACACTGCAGGAACCACTTGGTCGTGTAAATCCCCGTAGTCATCTGCTCCTTGTCCTAGGAGGAGAGAGCAAAGAGAGACAGGTGTTTCACCAGGCTGGCTGCTGGAGGTTGAAGCAACTCACAGGGCTTTTGGGCACGCTGGTTGGTTGGTTAGCGCTGGGGTCTGGGTGCAGGATGTGGCTGCGGTCTGTCCCCCAACAAAGGCCCTGCTTTAATCACCAGTACTGAAGCCCTGCTTTAGCCCTTTGCCAAAGATATTCACTGAAAGTGATCCTCAACGTGGCCAGACTTCAGTCACAACTTTGGAGAGGGATTTCTAGAAGCTTTTCTGGCCTAATATCTACTCCAGGGATTTTCAAAAACCTTCCAGGAACCCAAACCATGTGCTCCTTGCAGACTACCATTTTTGTTTCCATAGCAATTCCCATGTGAGCCTCTCGGAGCACCACAAAAATTATTAACCCCTAGTATCCCACAGGTAAATCCAGACCTGCAGAGTAAAGCCAGCTTTGCTAGCACGACTTCATTTGCATGGCATGGCTGCAGGAGCAGGACAGCCTAGCAGGCTAAGGAAAACTCTTAAAAACCTCACCCTCGTTGTCACTCTGGTTCTCTCTTTTCCATCCCTGTCTGGTGCCCGGCACAGCACTCGCACAGCTTTGCTTTTTCCTGCGTGGCACGGCTGGTGCTGTGATGCACAGTGCCCCGCATGTGCACAAAGTTGACGTGACCGCTGCTGCAAAGCCAGCAAAGCAGCAGGGATGGGAAGAGAAAGAAGCCCATGGGATTAATGGCTGGCTCCGGTCTTTGCTTTCGGCTGCTGCTGAGCACCTTGCAAGCCTGGGAGCCTTTGAGAGCCAGGAGACATGAGCGGCTTTCAGAGAGTTATTCCCATCCTCCCTGCCCAGGTTTCCCCAGCCCCATGGCTATAATTAAATGAAAACCAGAACAGGCTCTCTTTCACTTATATGGCCAGGGCTGGCTCGCTGGCAGCACGAAGCAAGAGATGTACATGATGGCAACCTAAACAGCTTTTCCTGGAGCCAGGCCACCAAGCCCCTTGGGGGCATAAGAAACCTTCAGGCGTCTGGCCACTGAATACCAACTGTCTACAGCAAATGCAAGGGGGAACAAAAAAGGGAGCAGGTGTTGCAAAACAGTCGCCTAGACGTTTGCCTGCAGTCAATGTGTCCTGCAGATGCTCCTCCAGCTAGCAAATGGGCTTGTACCATCTGCTAGAGAGAAAAACAACTGGACGCGCCCAAGTAACAAAATGCACAGCAAATCTCACGCGCCTCCTGTCTTTAAACAACAGCAAAGCGTTAAATGAAAGCATGTGGGACTAATAATTATCAAATTAAGCCTCTGGACAGTCCAGCGTCACCCTTCAGGGTTTGCAGCTGGCTTAGGAACGCAGCCCAGCCTCGCTGATGTACTCAACAGCTTCTTTTGCTGCAGGCTCCGTGAGCCTTCCTGCCTGGCTTTCCTAAGATTCCTTAGGAAATCTTTTTCCTTTAGATTTTAGCAGTCCCTACACTAATGACCAGCAAGCAAATGATAACCATTTGCCTCAGCAAGATTCAGGCACCTCGTTCAATAAACACTTGCCTCTTGATGGCTGAAGCAGTCCTACATGGTTAGAAATATGTTCAGTTGTGCATCTATTTCGCAGAACGTTACACTAACTGCTTTAGCATTAAAACGTGCTATTAGTATGGGGAGACTGATAGCAAAGAGATACCATGTGCTTCTTCAGTTTGGGAAACAGTTTGCTTAAAATCTGCTCGTGGTGAGCTTGAAATCTCTGCAGCTTCGGGAACCCAGGAATGAAAAAACCTTAATGGGAAAAGATGAGAGAAATAAAAAATAATCAGAAAAGCTCTGGAGCAGTCATGGAGGCAGCCTGATTTTCTAGAAACTCATCCCCCGTGTTGTCTGCTGGAGTCAGCTGGACCACAGCGTGCCCAGCTACCTCCCTTGGCATCCCTTCCAGAGCCCACCCTTCACCTACATGGGCAACAGCACCCTCAGCACCAACCCCAGCTGGTCCTTCTCACCCCCACTCACCCCCCCACTGCCTGCCCGCCTGAGACTTGGCTTGGCCAAGACCTCTCTGAACATACCTCAGTGCTTTCCAAGGTTCACAGAAAAGCTGAAGGCGTTTGAACACCACAAGCTTGTGCAGTGCCCCGTAATCTAGCAGGACGTGTTTAAGACAGTCCCGAGTTATCAAGACATAAGGCTTAGCCCTCCGCTTATAAAACAACCCTCTGTGCATAGGCTACTGCTAACCACAAGTAAGATGGAAGGATCTTTAATGTGTTTGAAGTAAAATGACACAGCACATTTGGTGGAATTACATCTTCCTAAAAACACACAGACATATAGCTCGTGGCACACTAAAAACGGAGCATTACATGACACTCTTGGACGTACTAATGCGAGACTTCTTAAGAACTCGCAACCTTGAGTTAATTGATTGCCAAGGGCAAGGCACTCCAGAGGGAAGATAGCACCTCTCTGGAAGTGTTAATTACTGAGCGCTAAAGCTCAGTGCCGATAAACCACATTTTTCTTTGATGAATTTGTCTGCCTCCAAGAGTGAAGTTCAGCTCCGTAGTCAGGTCGTGTTGGCACATAATTAAGCCTTACCCACTTTAAACAAGTATGTGAAGAGGGCAAGGCTCTACCGACCAACCTAAACAGCCTTCCCTCCCGTCACAAGAGTCCCCCTGCCCCCGCCTCACCGTGCATGGCGTGCCGCTGGTTGGTCAGCAGCTGTGCCAGTGCCCAAAATGCATCCTCTTCGTTTAGGTACATCAGGAGGATGGCTGCGATCTGGCTCATCCCTTGGCAGTAGCTCACTTCCTGCAAGAGCCAAGAGAGGCACATGTGATGTGCTGCCACACTGTCAGACACCACCATGGTGCTAAAGCTGCAGAAGCAGGTCAAGTTGCCTGTGCTTCCCTCTCCTCTTTCAAGGTCTGTCCTGTTTCAGGGTCTTTATGCCCAAATTCACAGCTCCCATATGTCTACAGCACCTACTGTGTCAGTGACACACAGAGTGCTTTGGGTTGGAATGGACCTTTGTAGATCATCTTATCCAACCCCCCTGCTATGGGCAGAGACATCTTTCACTAGATCAGGTTGCTCAAAGCCCCATCCAACCAGACCTTGAACACTTCCAATAATGGGGCATCCACAGCTTCTCTGGGCAACCTGTTCCAGTGCCTCACCACCCTCAATGTAAAAAAAGTCTTCCTTAACGTCCAATCTAAACCTAACCTATTTTGGTTTAAAAGCCTTGGCCCTTGTCTTGTCACTACAGGCCCTAGTAAAAAGTCTCTGTCTGTCTTATAAGACTCCTTTATATATTGAAAAGCCAAAATAAGGTCTCCCCAGAGCCTTCTGTTCTCCAGGCTGAACATCCCCAACTCAGCCTTTCTTCATGGGGAGGGGTGTTCCAGCCCTCTGACCATTTTCATGGCCCTCCTCCAGATCCATTCAAGCAGGTCCTCCAGCAGGAGGTGAAGGGCTTGCAGGCAATGCCTCCACCATGCCGCACCAGCCCTGCTCAAGCCTGGAGGGCAAGGGACAGAAACCCCAACATAAGAGGTACCTGCAGCTAATTCAAGGAATAGGAGATGGGATGATAAACAACATGTGGCTCCAATGCTGTTTTGCATTCCTTCAGCCACGTGAGCACTGAAGCAATTAAAGAATAAATAAATCTGGTAAGCATTTATCTGTTATGAGGGAAAACAGGGTCTTTGTTTCCTTGACTACCCCCCTTGAGCATCTTCTGTGCCTTCTGGGGTAATTCTCTCCTTCTGGAGATGGAGGCAGTAGGTTCAGCTGCTAATTTAGGCTTATTCTGCCCATGCCCTTGAGCTAAAAATGACTGGTTCACTGTAATAAATCAGTGTTTTCAACAAGGATGCCATTCAGTGTATGACAAGAAGTCAGAAACATGACGGACCTTCAGCCAGGAGGCTAGTCTTTCTGGAAAGCCGAAGGGCAATTCCCTGTTCTTTGCTGACACTTGTCTAAACTGCATCTGCCAGATGTCATTTACCAGGTGACAAAACGAACAAGGGAATGAAACAACTCTATAAAGACTCTTGTGCTGTCTGTAAGTCTTGCAGCTGTCTGTACAAACCAGTATTAGGGCTTAAAATTGGAATTATCACTGAGACCTTCTGGCTACACAGACATACACACACATACAAATACTTATCTATGAAATAGATATCATATATGAATGATATATATATCTCTATGAAATACAACACTTTTAAAAAATCCTTTGTGTATATATATATATATTTTAAAAAAAAGCACAACACTATCCACTTTAACTGGACTAACTTAGTACTTACGGTGTTATAAACCGAGTATGCTGACAGGACATGGAAGAGTGCCTGTTGCCTGGGAGAAAAAAGGACATTAAAACACCTGAGTGTGAGGTCTCAGCTTTGTGTGCACACCAACGCGTACGCACAGAGAGCAAAGGCTCTGAAAACACCCAGCCAACTGGTACTTATGCCTTTTACAAGGAGCAGGGCTCACAGAACCAGAAAGCACCTTGATGGACAGGTGGGATGGGACCTCTTCCTTCATGGGGGAGTCACCAGCCAGTCTGCTCCATCAGCAGGTCTCCTGGAGAGACATGCATGTACCCACCTGCACTGTGTTCAACACACCTGCTCTTCAGGTCTGGAGCGGTGGTGGGTTTTTGATAGACTTGCAGCCACCTAGGCATCATGTGTTACACATCCTGGGGGAAGGCACTGCCACTGTTTTGTAGGTTCCTTTCTGTCTTCCCTCCTTGCTAAAGGAGTCATCACCATATAGATCCACAGTGGAGGCTTGCAGACTGTACATCCATGTAGGGCAGCCAGGTATGACTCATCCAAGCAACAAAGCCTCTTTGTCAAATCTCTCCAACCCTGTCTGTTCTGGAGGCCACGTATGCCCCATCCCACCCAGTTCCTGACAGACACACCCCATCATCCCAGTCATCCCAAACCAAGCCCTCTGCAACTGCAACCCCAGCACCTTAGGGGACAAGGCACCACAAGAGCCTGATGCTTGGCTCAATAACCGAGGCTGAACGTGGTCCAGCGTGGACCTGTTCAAAGAGAGAATCAGCAGCCCAACAGCTGCTCTGTGGAGCAGGCAGAGATGGCTTTGCTCTCCTGTGAGCTGCTGTGAGCCAGGGGGCTGGTAGTCACCCCAAGTCAGAAGGCTGCTGGTCACCCCATCCATCTCATCCCATGCACATCCACCAGCACCGATGCCCGTATGGCCTCCCATACTCACTTCACTCCGTAGCGATCCCGAAACATGATGTGGTTTCGGAAGGTGCGGTTAACATCCAAATCTATCTGCTTGATTTCTGATGAAAAGCTCTTTGCCTGTTCTTTCATTTGCTGGAAGGGAGAGGGACAGACAAGAGGAAGGAGTCAGACACCATCTCCACCCACTCCTCTCCGCACAGCAAGGCATGCGTCCTACGGCAGGAGTGGCAGCTCGTGAGCTGCACAGAGCTAATGCAGTGTGAGTCACGACACTGTCGTCTTGCAGTGAGCAACGATCTACAGCCCGGAGGTGAATCCCCAGCCTCTTGGCTGAGCTGCTGGCCCAGGGAGAAGGGGACGACCCCACGCTCACATGCTACGACAGCAGCAGATGCCAACCCAGCCCTTGCCTGTCTTCCAATGCAGACATCAAGTTTTCAGAACCTAAAACCTTTACAATTAAATTCCACTCTGATTTCTCTTTATTTCTTTGCAGTACCCAGCCTGGCTGTCATAAAGCATTGATGCCTCTGTTGGCTCTTAAGGAAAGATACACTTCTATAACCAACACACCGGCGTAAGCACCGAGTCTCTGAGCACTTCAGAGGCTCAGTCATAATAAAGTCCAAACTGTTACGACAGACTCTATGAAGTGATCTCCAGCTACTTCTTCCCCTGCAGAAGAGAATCATCTTGGGTTTAAGGAGTTTCCACCAGAAAAGCAGTTCTGGGGTATTCCCTTGGACTGGTGCAAATTTTAAGGAACTGGCTGAGTCCAGAACAGAAGCCAAACTCAAACCCAAGAATCCTCATGCTGTCTAGTCATTTAAGGCAACATCTCTCAGATAAAGTACTGAAGTCCACTGCAAAAAAAGGAAATTCAAACCAAAGCTAAACCCACCTCAGCCAATTGCACCTTCAGATTCCCAAGCTCAAGATGCTCCACGGATGAATCCCACCACAGTCCCATTTGTAACCCACAGTTCAGTCTTGTGCATGCGGCAAGGACCATTATGCTATAGCCAAGCATCTCATCTCACAGCCTTTAGATACAATTGTGATCATGCAATTGCCCTCCTTCTTTAATATCTCCAGGGTTAATTGCATTAATAAAATACATTTTGTGACTGTCTTCAGGCAGCCTGAGATCCACCGGCCGGTTAGAGGCAGTGGAGATGAGCAGCAAGCCCAGCTTGCCTGGAGCCCAAGGTCAGAACCCCTCCCTGCTCACACAGGAGACAGAAAATAGCACATCTGCACAGACAATCATCTGCTCCAGCAGCTGCAGTCCTACAAATACTTGTCAACCTGATAAAAGGTGCCTCCAGGCTGCTGTTGACTTCCTGAGGTGGCTACATCAGCTCTGGGGAGCACCAGAAGGTTATTAGCACCCAGATGTGTCCAGCACAGCCAACGCTCAGGCAGTCACAGCATCTTGGGAATATTAACTCCAAACTTGAAAGTAGCTATATGGAGGAGCAACATTGCAGGGGCTATTTTGAATTATTGTCTGCACAAGACAAGGGAAGATAAAAGTGACGACGGAATGGAGATCTGATGAACGACATAATTTCCCTGCTGTAAATTCCACGCTCTCTGCATCCTAGAGCTCCTTGCCTTCTGCAAAGCAGGCAGACTACCTGAGACAAGATAACTATTCATACGCATCAGGTCACTTCAGTTCAAATTTCCCTGCTCAAGGCCCTGTTGTTTTCCCTGCCAGAACAACACGGAGATCTCCTAAAGTCTATAAAAATTGCTACTTTGGGGGTTTTTTAAATCACTGACCTGAATAGCAGGTAGGTTGCACAGCACTTTGTCACCTCCATGCACTCAGGAGGCTTTATTAATTCTGCAGATGGTAAACAAGAAGCCCAGGACAGGTCGTTCTCCTTTTTTCCCTTGTTTAAGCAACCTGGAGACTCCACAGATGCTCCGTGGAGCTCATTAGCGCTGCGAGTCCTGCAAGGCAGCAGTAGAGCAGAGGCTGGGTAGCTGGAGGTCCCGTCCCAGAGACCTTTTACAAAGCAGTGGGTAAGGGCCAGGATCCCTCCGCTCTGCCCCATGACCAGCACGTTTCTCCTGCTGCCTTCTCAGTAATCCTCAAGCCCTCTCGGTTGTTCCTATTAACCCCCAGGGAGGCAGAGCATCACGCCACCAAGCGTGGCACATCCCATGGTAGCCTCTGAGCTCCTGCAGCATCAGGGACAACTGAGCTGCCATGGCTTTGAGGAAGACTCGGAAAATTACATGGAGAGGACTTGGAAGGACAGCTGGGATAAGACAAAGCGCTACAGAAGCAATTGGACCAGGCTCTTTAATTGCATCACTCCGGAGGCAACATGGATATGGAGAGCAAGGTATCCCGTTTAGCTGGAAAAGTAGCACAGGGGACAACATCTCTACAAAAGGAGCAGTGGAGGATAGATAAGGAAGAAAAAAAAGGATAGATCACCTGGCATGTGCCAGGTGGCACGCTAAAAACTCAAAGCACATGCAAAAGTCAGGCTTTTGTGTCATGGTTCATGGCCCAAGGAGAAATGGGGTGGCCTTGGGACCAGCTTCTCTAGGACACAGGGCTGGGACTGGAGGCTTGGTCCTTTCTGGAAAACAAACCCCCTCATCCAGGACCTGCACTGGGCCTCTTCTGGAGGAAATTAGGGGAGAGCTAATTACTGGCAGCAGGTGGCACCAAAGAAGAGGAGGATTAAGATGCCCTTGTAGAGGGTTTGCATCCAGCAAAGCCTATTAGCCCTGAAGCTCCTGTTTATCGCAGACCCCTCTGGAGCACAGATAAACTCCTTGTGACTTTCATTTGTTTGGATTGCTTCCCTGCCTGCACAGCGTGCTGGGAGAGCTTCGTTATCTCCGCTAACTGCCGTGAGCCCAGCCCACCTTCCCCAAGCCCCTGCACGTGATTCCATCCCAGCAGCATCTCGCTATTAACATCCACGCTTGACTAACCATAATGAGCATTAGCATCATCCTGCTTAATAGGCAGGGATCTTTAGAAACACCTGCTGGAAGCAGCACTCAACCTCTTGCCTCCGAAACATAACTGTCTCCACGACACCCAGATCCTTGCCTGGGTACGTGATGTAAGCTAAATCATACCACAAGTTTGGAAAACAAATTAATTGTCAACTAAGGGCTTTCACACACTGCCTATGGAAAGAGGCAGCAAAAAGGAGCCAAGATGACTGAAATAAAAAATAACAAAATACAGCAAGCCTCGCCACTCAGGTTCTTGTTCAATGCATGCTCCAGAAATCGCTTATTTTATACCAAGGAATCCAAGCCTGCAGCATGCAGTGCTCTGGTAGGAAACAGTACAAGACAGGCATTTCTCCTATCTGCAAAAAAAAATGAGTGATTTTTAACAGAAAAAAAATGTTTTTATTTGATTTTTAATAGTGATTTTTTAGTAGAAACTTTCAAGACAGTTATAAAATGATGGAAGATGGAAGATAAAAAAAGCCACTTAAAGCCAAGCTCTTCCCAAGCTGCCAGTCAACTTCCAGTTGTAAGCCAGGACCACGTGCCCAGAAATCAACCCCCAAGCTTACGAGACCTGCCCTCACCCAGCCGTAATTGTGTTTCCCAACTAAAGACCCATTGTCAGCTGGTTTAAGGTTTCTGACCTTGCTGCACACTTCAAAATGCCCTGAGTGAAAGTTCCAATCACACAGAGAGGTTTGGGATACCCCCATCCAGCACCTACCGGCTTCAGAGTACTTGTGACTACTCTGCATCGCTCCAGGGAGCTTGGGGAACTTTGGTAAGCTTCCTCTCCCTCTTCCCTGCA